ACCCAGGGGGATCGGGCCTAAGCCGGCAGGCAGACATCCCTCTAGGGGTCCTGGACTGCAAGAGGGCACAGGCCAGGCTGAGGAGGTCCCACACACCCCAGTGCATGAATTTCATGCACCAGGCCTCTAGTTATTTTAATAAATTAAAATAACATAAAAATGCTTATCAGGTTAAATAAAAAGCAATTTATAAAATGCTACAAACTTTGCACATAATTAATATCCTCTAACAGTCTCCCCCAAATCACTCATGGTTTGTTCAGTGAATATTTTTAACCACCTACCTATGTAGCTTGCAGTCTATTAGGAGCAAAATTCAAATATGACTAAGAAAAAAGACTTGAAGAAATGCCATAATGTTAATTTTTTTCTTTGAGTGAAGGCACATGTGTGACTTTCTTTTTAAATATAAATCCCTACATTTTCTATAATGAGTATTATTATTTTGTAGAAAAAAATTTTTATTATGGTAAGATACATAAAATTTGCCATCGTAATAACCATTTTTTAAGTGTACAGTTCAGTGGCATAAGTACATTCACAATGTTGTGCAACCATCAGCAGTTTCCATTTCCACATTTTAAAATCCCAAACAGAAACTTTGTACCCATTAAACTCCACATTTTTTTCTCTTCCCAGCCCCTGGTAACCTCTATTTTACTTTCTGTCTCTATGAATTGGCCTATTTTAGGTACCTCACTGATGTGTGATCACACAATATTCATGTTTTTGTGTCTAGCATATTCACTTAGCACAGCGATTTTCAACCTGTGTGCTGCAAGAATTTTTAAAACATGCAATACCTGACTGTTTAGTCAGGGACACTGACCTCTTTTTCCTTATATTGTGAAATAAAAAATGACAACAGCCAGTACAACAGTAGTTGTCTGGCATGAATGAATCAAAATACCTTTTTTAAAAATTAGATCAGCAAAAAATGTAATATATTTTTGGGTGTGCCACAGAACTTAGTATTTATTTCATGTGTGCCATGAGATGAAAAAGGTTGAAAATCGCTGGTCTATATGTCCTTAGGCTATACCACATTGTTTTAATTACTCTAGCTTTGTAGAGATTTTTGAAATCAGAAAGTGTGAACCCTCCAGCTTTGTTCTCTTTTTTAAAAATTGTCTTGACTATTTGGGAGAAACATTTATTCTTTTAAATATTTACTGCTTATAAGAGCTATGTAAAATTTCTACCTTCTGAAAAGATTCATTCTTCTTAAAATAATTTTCTAGAACAATTTTTGCTGCTTACTAAAATATGTATTTTGCTCTGTATTATAGAAAGAGTATCCTAGCCCAAATGAAGTTGTGAAGAGAATGCAGTCTCTCCAAATAGACTGTGTAGCAATACCTCCAAGCAGGTCAAATTCAGGTAACTTAGACTATGGTTGAAAATCTGTTTATCCACTTATTTTTTTGCTCATACATGCACTCTACTCTCTAAAATATTATTCACAACCGCATGAAAAACAGAAGAAGCTATACAATTTACCACCTGTCATAAAGGAATTTATAATGTATTCGGAGCCAAGATACATATATTTGAAATGTTAAGTAACATTGAGTTCACCAAAATCATAAACTCTCCTGAACATGAGTCCTAAAATATCTGATAGGGAGAAAATGATGGCTCAGGAAAAAGACATTTCCCAAGTCCTTGAGAAAGCCAGAGATGACTGGACCCGGAATACAAGCAGAGAGGTTGGTCTCAGAGTCAAGCAGGGATACTTTTTCCTTACAATAAAAGGGAAGGCAGACTACAGGAGTTTGAAGCCATTTATTAGCTATCTGTTCTGGGGCAAATCACTTAACCTCTTAAACCTCATCCATCAAATCATGATAATTACTCCTACTCTTATAGGGCTTTTAAAGAATGAAAGAATCCATGGAAAATGGTTAGCACAGAGCTGCTGCTCTTTTTTGTTGTTGTTAATCCTCACCCAAGGATATTTTTTCCATTGATTTTTAACCAGTTAACTGCCATGTGTCCAAAACATAATTCCCACACGCCACAATATTTTAAATTTAATTTAAAAAACCAATTTACAATGAATATTATAAATATATTACTCACAATTCGAATGTTCTTGAATATTTTCAGCTGAAAATTCTCACAAAAAATGATTTTAAAGTTGGTCAGGGCTGCCACTTAGGGAAAACTTTTTTTTATAGACGCATGTGGCATGTGGGGAAGGTCCACTGCTTGTGTCTACAGACGTATATGGCGTACAATGGGTTAAAGAGAGTAGAAGGGAGGGGAGGAGGGGGATAGAGAGAGAGGGAACATGGATGTGAGAGAGACATTGATTAGTTGTCTCCCGTATGTGCCCCAACCAGGGCTTTGGATCAAACCTGCAACCAGGTATGTGCTCTTGACCAGGACTAGAACCCACGACCCTTAGGTGCATGGGCCAATACTCTAACCTCTTAGCAAAGCCGGCCAGAACCAGAGCTGTTGCTCTTATTTTCCAACCCTGGATCACACCAAGGAGACAACCACCTCACTGCGGCAACACAAGTCCCTTTCTTCCTTGGTCATTCCTGTGATACCCACCTTATTGCTTGTTATAACTTCCCTAGTGCTCTCTCACTGTCGGGCAGGGGCTCCTACTCATCCTATCTAATAAAGAGGTAATATGCAAATTGACCATCACTCCAACACACAAGATGGCCACCCCCATGTGGTCAAAGATGGCCACCACAAGATGGCCTGCAGGGGAGGGCAGTTGGGGGCAATCAGGCCAGCAGGGGAGCAGTTAGGCATCAATCAGGCTGGCAGGGGAGTGGTTAGGGGGTGATCAGGCAGGCAGGCAGGTGAGCGGTTGGGAGCCAGCAGTCCTGGATTGTGAGAGGGATGTCCCAGATTGGAGAGGGTGCAGGCTGGGCTGAGGGACTCCTCCCCATGCATGAATTTCGTGCACCGGGCCTCTAGTTCCATATAAAAGAAGAGGGCCAGCCATAGCTGGTTTGGTCAGTGGATAGAGCATCGACCTGTGGACTGAAGGGTCCAGGGTTCGATTCCAATAAGGGCATGTACCTCGGTTGCAGGCTTGATCCCTGGCCCCGGTCGGGGTGCATGCAGGAGGCAACCAATCGATGTATCTCTCTCTGTCTCTCCTCCCTTCCACTCTCTCTATAGAAAAATATCCTTTGGTAAGGATTAACAAAAAAAATAAATAAATAAAAGAAGAGGGCCACCTAGTATATGCTTTTTACTTATTCTCGGTGTTTTCATAATGAATCTCAGGACAGATTCATTATGGGGCTCAGGTTTCATTTTACTGTTTAATGTTTCATGAAACTCCAATGTTGAACATTTCTTCTCAGCCACAGAACAGCCCCGTTCACTGCACAGTTCACAAAGTCTCAGGATTGGTCCTGTGGAGGAGTCCTGGTTTGCTCCCTCCCCAGACTACCAGCAGGAGGAGAATGAGCGCAGCCTGCAGAATAAACTCCAGGAGGAAGCCAACTACCATCTTTATGGCAGCCGCATGGACAAGCAAACAAAACAGCAACCCAGACAGGGTGTGGCTTACAACAGAGAGGAGGAAAGGAGACGAAGGGTCTCCCATGACCCTTTTGCACAGCCAAGACCTTATGAGACTGTTCAAAACCCAGGGATGAAAGGCCTTGCTTCTTCTAACACAGCCAGTCCTGGGAATGCAGTACACCAACCAGCTGGACTGACCTGCCAATCCCAAGGACTCCACTGGACTCCATATAATCCGTATGATTTTAGAGCAAGACCATTGGGTGCAGGAACAATAGATTCCAGATTTTGGTCTGGGCCAAATGCAAGCCAGATACCGAGCCTGCATAAAACTCCAGTACCTGAGACCAACCTGCTGGGAAACACTCCCACCATTCCATTCATCTCCCTGACATCAAGAGGTAAACAGGCCTTCAGTACAATCTTGTCTTTTTTTTTTTCTTTCTGAAAATAAAATAGCTGTTAACTCTGTTGTAGACTATAAAGTAACAAAGGGGCAAATTGTTCAGTCTTCAGCTGCCAGATGCAGCTTACACCATGAAAGTCTCCATCTAACCACGTGGCCTGGGTAGTTCAGTTGGGTAGGATTCAGTGCATCTGCCTACACGTGTTGGTTTTTAGGTTTTGTAACTGGTAGACATCTTCCACTCTAACCTGAATCACATGGTCCCATTATACCCAGTCTCTGGTGCAAGCGAAGGTATCTGCTTATATTCTTTTACTTGCTTGCTGTTTTCTGAAGATAAGAAATAAGTCTTGGATATTTTTATTTCTAATCTCATATAGGCCAAAGGCTACCATTTGTGATGAAAACCACATTGTCACCATCATCCATTTCCAGAACTCTTTTCATCTTCCTGAACTGAGACTCTACTCATCACACAACAAATCCCCATTCTCCTTTCTCCTCCCAGCCCCTGGCAACCAGCTTTCTACTTTCTATGTCTAAGAATTTAATTACTGTAGGTACCTCACATAACTGGAATCAATCATACAGTATTTATCCTTACTTCAGTTAGTATAATGTTCTAAAGGTTCATTCATGTTGTAATGTGTGTCAGAATTTCCTTCCTTTTTAAGGCCAAATAATATCCCATTGTATGTATATACCACATTTTGTGTATCCATTCATCTACTAGTATTGATGGACACTTGAGTGGCTTTCACTTTTTGGCTATTGTGAATGCTGCTGCATAGGGATGTAAATACCTGTTTGAGACCCTGCTTTCAATTCTCTCGAGTATATACTCAGAAAAGGAATTGTTGGAACATAGGGTAATTCTATTTTTAATTTTTGGAAGAACTGCCATATTGTTACCACAGCGGCTGTACCATTTTGTATTCCCACCATTAGCACGCAAGAGTTCCAATTTCTCTACATCCTTGTCAACACTTGTTATTTTCTGTTTTTGATAGTAGTCATCCTAATGGATGTGGTTCAGCCACATTTTAAGAAGGAAAACTTTACAAGGTGGCATAGAATAAAGAGTTTAACTTAAACATTTGGAGTGAAGCCCTGCCCTTTACAGTGTTGCATTTTTCACCTTACTTTCAATTTAGGTGTGCTTACCTGTGTGCTTCTCTCTATTCAGATGAGACTGCAAAATATGCCATATACAACAGTGCTGGAGTTCAGATTGGAGACAATAATCGTATGGAAGTTGGAGTGAGCTTGCCATTACTGGACAGCACATACGTGAACTGGAACGAGCCAGCTTCTAAGTACCAAGATACCTTTGGTAAGATGCCCTTTAAGGGCCCATTGTCTAGAAACCTTGTACTTTCTTCCTTGTTGAGAGGGATGTAGTGGAATCCTGAAGTGTATCTGATTATTCTCCCTGAAAATTGTTCCCTGTTTCCTCTGTAAAATATCTGTGTAATTTCCATGTAATGTCTTTGTAATTTATTTATGTTTAGTATGGGAAAGCTAATTCATGGATTGCTGTGAAAATTAAATGAGTGAAGGTGTATAAAGAGCTTAGAACACTGCCTGGCACATAGTAAGATCTACAAAAGGATTAGATCATCATCATCATCATCAACATCATTATCCAGACCTAGGACAGAGCTCCTTCAGGTCCTCATCAGAAGGAATTGTGTAACAATAGGAGACTGTGCCCTTAACAGCACCTCTGTAATGAAAATGAGGACTTTCTCTTATAGGGTCTCACTATGCAGGCTTATAACATTAGTCCCAAAACACAACCTGGAGAAAGCAGTCATCAGGCCAAAACAATGTGATTTAAGAACTAGCTTTCTGATTAACCCTAGGGTAGGCAAATTTTTTTCTATTAAGGTTTAGATAGTAAATGTTTTAGGCTTCACTGGCCTTGAAGTCTCTCTTGCAACTACTCAACTTACACAGGAGTGCAGTAGCAGCCACAGACAGTATGTGTGTGGATGGCTGGGTTCCAGTAAAACAGTGTTTACAGAAGTAGGCCACAGGCCAGCATTGGGCCACAGACCTGGTCTAGCCCACTTGAAGGATAGTTTTTAAAATACCTAGAGCAGAGGTTCCTAAATTTGGGAGAGACAAGGGTATCTTTAAGGATCTGGTGAAACCTAGGGTTCCCTCTTGCAGAGAGGTAGTGACGAAATTTGTCAAATATCTCGGGAGGTTTGGGGATTGCTAATGTCCAGTGGTGATGGTAACAGCTGCATTACGGGGAGCTGAGGAAAGAGTGGGAGTTAAGGGGCAAAACTGAGATGTCTTTTTCCTTATATTCAGCTTTCTGAGGTAGAATGAGGATCGAGGAGTATGGTTTGTTTGTGGTGATTATTTTCTATTTCTGTTTCTTTTTGTCATTTTTGTGAAGGCCTAAAGGCAGGAACCAGTAGAAAGAGGGAGGTTATGACTATTGGAGAAGAGAGGGCAACAGTTGGGGCAGGGAGGGATGGGTCCAGAAATAGACCTTGAAGAGTATACGTGCCTCATCCCTTAAAGGACAGGGGAGACATTGTCATTGAGTAGGTAGTTTTGCACTTGATGGTCTCAGTTTCCTTGATTAAGAGGAAAGAGAACTGTTGGGGGAAGGGGCTCAGGAGTTGAGTGACCTTAACTCTGGCTATATGTAAGTGAAAAATGCCCGAAAGGAAAGAAATGGTGTTTCCCCTTTACAGCAGGAAGATCTAGTATAAACAGGACCGCTGGCTAAGGTTGTCTAAAACAGCCTCACAGTCAGGCAAGGGTTTTAATCCCAAAGCCATCAGCTGCAGCTCAGAGATGCATTTGCTAGGAGGAAGAGGTTCCTTATTTTAATTCACAAAAATTCCCCTAATGTAAAGTACCACCCAATGAATCAATAGCCTTATAATGAAGAAGTTATCTTTTCCACTGGACTCCAGGTGCTCTTCACTTTATACAGGTTTTTGAAGCTAGAATGTTCAAATGGGTTTCAGCTTGACGTCTTCTCCTTTCTTTTTGGCAGATAATACCACTAGTCTGACTGATAAACACCTGGACCCAGTCAGGGAAAATCTGGGAAGGACCTGGAAAAATTGTGCCCGTAAACTGGGCTTCACCGAATCTCAGATTGATGAAATTGACCATGACTATGAGAGAGATGGATTAAAAGAGAAGGTTTACCAGATGCTCCAGAAGTGGCTGATGAGGGAAGGCAGTAAGGGGGCCACTGTGGGAAAGTTGGCTCGGGCGCTCTACCAATGCTCACGCATAGACCTTCTGAACTCTTTGGTGTTTATCAGCATGAACTAACTAGAAGCAGCTTCGGCAGCATGAAGTCATCTCCTCACTTAGTGGGTGAGCCACTGAGAATGGGCTGCCTCAGACCACCCGTGAAGTCAACCCCCACTTAGTGGGTGAGCCACTGAGAGTGGGCTGCCTCACTGACCTGGGTTCTCTGTCTACACAAAAATCATTTCCTGCATTTCATAACTGGAAATGGGAAAGAAACCTACAGCAAACAACCCACTAAACTGAATGCCTGAGGCTTGATGAAAAAAGAGCCTTGCCCTAGCTGGTTTGGCTCAGTGGATAGAGCCTCGGCCTGCAGACTGAAGGGTCCCAGTTTGATTCCAGTCAAGGGGCACATACCTCGCTCGGTTGCAGGATCCTCCCCAGCCCAGGCCCTGGTCAGGGCGCGTGCAGGAGGCAACCATTTGTTGATTTAAGAAAGCTAGGTTCTTAAATCACATTGTTTTGGCCTAATGACTGCTTTCTCCATTTGTTTCTCTCACATTGATATTTCTCTCGGTCTTTCCTTCTCTCTTCCACTCTTAAAAAAATCAATGGAAAAATATCTTCAGATGAAGATTTAAAAAAAAGAAAAGAAAAAAGAAGCCTGATGAGCTTTGAAAGGGAAAGCAGAAATATTTGAGGGAGATCATTTTCTTTTACTTTATTCCATAACCTCCAATTATGCTAAAAAATTCGGAGAATGTAAACTAAACCAACTTTCTTATTTTGTGCTCTTTTCTCCACATAGGCTCCTATTATAAACAAAGTATAGAAAAAAAACTAAGCTTTTTTTTAAAATATATTTTTATTGATTTTTTTACAGAGAGGAAGGGAGAGGGATAGAGAGTTAGAAACATCGATGAGAGAGAAACACTGATCAGCTGCCTCCTGCACACTCCCCACTGGGGATGTGCCCGAAACCAAGGTACATACCCTTGACCGGAATCGAACCTGGGACCCTTCAGTCTGCAGGCAGACGCTCTATCCACTGAGCCAAACCAGCTAGGGCTAAGTTTTCTTCAAATAGATTTTTTGGTATCACTACCACAGTTCATTCCAGTTACAGGGTCTGTTAACATCAGTATGAAATGCTGTATCAGTCACTACAAGCTTCAAGAATTGCAATATCCACACCACAAATTAACTGAAGGGATTTTAAGGTGTACTAAGAAGGGGAAAAATGTATAACAAAAACATCACAATTTCCCAGGCAGTTGTTGCAAGAAATTGCTACTAATTATGACAACTACAAAAATTCTTGATTAACTTTTTAAGTTCTTTTTTTTTAACATCCTGGCACTTTAGGCACTTTCCCAACCTGTATGCCCTGAGGAGTCAGCAGGCTATGACCAGAGCCTCAGGGCTGATCACTGTTGAATAGCTCCCCAGTTTACCACCACCAC